AGACCACTGTGGAGGGACCCTGGCCCTGAGCATGCTTCCCATTGGATCAAAATCCTCAGGGAGGCTCTGCACCTGCCTACAGCTCAATGCCAGAGCTGGGAGACATCACTGGAATGAAAATGTAGTTCCTCAGTGCTTCCTCTCTCTGTTTTCAATGGTTTTGGGGTGTATAACCACAAACTGTGGCAGCAGAGGCTATGGCCACCAAGAAGCTGGGGCTGGGACCCACAGCTGAGGGCGGGATCTGCATTAGCAGATCAAGACCTGAGGGACAACCCCTGCCTGCCTGGGGTGCTGTCCTGCCAGGGGGGAACAAGCCCCAGAGGCCACCTTCTAAAGCACAGCAGAGTCCCGCAACCACACCACTGTCCAGGACGGCGTCGGGGAAAGCCACCCACTCTCGCTTCACGCCAACAGCCTTGAAGGTCAGTTCAGCTAGGAAGCCACAGCCCAAGCGATGTGCATAATGCCTGTCCTGGAGGATGTTTGCTTAGCGGCAGCAGGAAGAGGTTTCTCATCCATCTGCAGACAAGGCGAGTCAGACGTGGGGTGTTCTCTGGTTCCCACCACCCCACAGCCCACCCAGCAGGCAGAAAGTGTTGGTCCCAGTACACCTATTTGGGTGGTAGTGGTTGAGAGCTCCGTAAGCAGGGAGAAGCGGCAGCTGAAGTTCACTGGCCAAACCCCCAGCTGGGGTCTCCAGAGACACAGATGCAATCCCAGGTGCCGCAGTCTCCGTTATCATCTGCTCTTCTGGAGGTCATGAGCCCCTAACAAGCCTTCAGAGAGTCCAGGTGCTGGGACTGCTGCCCATCCCAATCCCACACTAAGCCTCCGCATGCTGTCCAGGGAGCCCACGCCAGCCTTCTGGCCCTGCCCTCCCTTTTCAGGAGACCTGCTGGGCTGACAGACTCAGCACGTAAGGATGAGGATACTTTAGAGAAGAGGAATTTACACCTTTAAAAGACATCAGGACCTCCTGAAACCAGTAGCTTTCAAACTGTGAATCCACAGCCTTCAGAGGGGGTGAGGAGGCGTGCTCGAGAACATGTTTTAAGCACATTAAGAGATGGTAAATTTGCTCTACAGATGCCTCCACTGGAAAAAAGAAAAATCAGGTTCATATGCTAAAAGGTTCAAAACAACAACTTTAAGTTTCTTATATATGGTGGGATGCTCAGCTACCAAAAAGAAAAGTGAAAGAAGCTTTTAATGAAAGAGGCTTCTCCTGACCAAGTGCATCTCCAAACAGCAGCTCCCTTGGAACAGCTGCTTCCCCTAGGGAGCAGCATGATGATGGCTCCTTCCCCTGGGTGCCCTGCTTGGACACTGAGGACAATTATTAAATACCCACTTAGAATCTTGCTTCACTATGGAGTTAACCTGAGGAAATTCAGCTGGTGAGGAGAGTCAGCAGCTGAATGTCTTGACTCAGCAGTGGCTTTGTGCCCAACTGTTCAGACTTCCCCTTGCCTTATTCCAGAAACTCTGTGGCTAAAAACGGCTTTAAACTGAAAAAGGGGGGATGGGAGGTAAAAGGGGTGCACACAGCAACTTCCCACATCAACAGCCAAGCATCCTGCTGCTGGTCAGACCTGCTGGGGTATGCGGGGAGCAGGAATTTGATGATTTGTCTCCTTTGAAACTACAGTTTTCATAGGGCTTCCATCCAACACCAGGAAGAAAATTCCCACATCCCCGCAGATTGCTAACTTTCCACAGGATTTCTCTTTCCATAATCATTTATCTTCTCCCTCTGCCTCCCACCACTGCTCTGTGGAGTCACCTCTTCCCAAATGCACAGCCCCACTCCGACCCACCACCAGGCAGCCCTGTGAGGTGGAAGCAGTTCAATTTTCTCAATCTAGAGCTTGCTGGACAGGGATCTACGTCACAAAAGCCACTGATCATCACTGCCAGTGAAAACACCACAACCTCAATCTATGCTCCTGTTTGAAGTGGTCCCTCTGGACAGGAGGATGCTGGAAAGTTGGCAGGTGTGTGTGGAGGGGATGGAGGAAGGGCTTCACCTCCCCTTCCCACCTCCCGACTGCTGGAGACTCGTCTCAGCTCTGCTTTCAGCTGTGATTTGCTGTCCAACTGGACACCATGGGGGAAAAAGGGACACACAGCATCAGGATCTGCCTGCTTCCCTCTCCGTTCAGTCCTTATCCGCTTGATCTCCCTTTGCACAGGCCAGCAGCGGGGCTGGGGCTCATAGGGCAGGTGAGAGATAGAGAAGGGCCGAGGAACACAGGCTGCAGGCCTGGTAGCCAGCAGTGACCTGGTTTTGTTAGCACTCCTAACACTGGCAAAGGGAGCTGCGCTGGAGGAAAGCAGAAGGAAAGTCCTGCCTCAGCCCAGGAAGAGCTCCAGCGCTGGGGAAAGCAGACACCACAGGGGCCTGGAGATAGATGTATGGGTTGTCCAACCTCCTCTTTCCATTCCCAGACACTGCCAGATCCAAGGACTAAATTCATCCTTTGCTGTCAAACTTGGAGTTATATAGACTGCAGTCAACTGTGGTCCCTGAAAGTGCTTTCGCATTTTGAGGTGATGCGAGTTAGGTGGATCCTCTACCTGTGTCCCAGAAAAAAATCAAGAAGAGGGTGCATCCAACAGCACTAAAGGGCATGTCCCCTCCACTGCCACCAGCTGCCATTCCCATGGGTGTGCTGCAATCCAAGGTGTCAGTCAGGGAAGCCAAGGGTGAGAGATGGGGAGCAGGAAGGGTCCCGGCCACAGTGCCATGACAGCAGCTGTTTGGCTTGGCACCAGGCATGCTGACCAGTCCTTTTTCCCTCCCTCATTCCCGCCTTTCAGCCACCAGCATAAAAAGCTGCCTTCTTTTCTTTCACTCCGTTCATGGCCTGGCTGCCTTTCAAATTCCCGGAGAAAAGTATTTATCTGCTGGATGAATGATGACATCCGGCCAAACCCCAGACACGCCATCACGTCTGATCCAGCCCAGCCGTCTATCACAGCCCTCATCTCGTTATTGGTAAGCTGGCGGCCTGCCAGCACTCGGGGCTCGGGAAAGGGCTCCCACCAATCTCTCCAGAGGAGAGAGTCAAGGACGTTTATTAATTAGCATTTTGAATTGTAGCTAATAAATACCCCTCTGGCATTCAGGCTGGGATAGGAAACTCAACAGAGACGTCCTTGAGATGCTATAGCATTTCACTGCTGGAGGCAAACGGACAGGAGTCACCCGCAAAGTCCTTCTGCATTCTGCAAGCTCACCTCTCCTCCCCTGAGAGGAGCAGGGAGCGGAGGGAGCGCGGCCCACTGCCAGTTTCAGTGGTGCATCACTCACTTGCCCACCGAGCACTGCAACGGCCAAACACTCCCAAACACATAGCAATTCTGCAGTGAGTGCAATTTTGCACCCGGGAGCTGCTCAGCAGTCCCATAGGACACTGCGGGATGTACCTAAGGATGGACACCCCAACACAAGCACATGATTGGGATTGGGATTTGGGCTGGTGCCTTCACTCCCCTTGTCTGTGGACACAAACCAGGGAGATGATGAGGGACATGGCTGGATAGCCAGGAGCTACAGCTTCAAACATAGCAGAGCTGCACTGCTCTGAGGCTGACACCCAGCACCCAAAGGCCTCCACATCTGAATGCGCTCCTTGTTCTGGCCACGGCCCCCACCCTGCCTGATACCTGGCTCAGTCTACACGAAAGAATAAAGGTGAGGAAACCGGGTGCAAGAGTGAAGCTGCCCTTCAATCCACATGTGTGATGGTGCCTCAGCTACAAGCAGGTTCAATAAGTGACTCCCCCTGCAACACAGCTCACCACCCTCTCACGCAGGGCTCCAAGATTCATGCACAAGAAGCCCCCCACTTCCCAAAATATCCCCAGGGGCTGTTAACACTTGTGATAAACCCCCACCCAATGCCCTTGCCAGGTCATCTTTTCCTCGTGCCTCTTGCTTGCCCCTGAGCTGCTGCCTTCGCTGAGGGATGAGCACTGGGGTGGCAGGTTAAGTGGTGAGCAATAGCAGGGCAGGACGGATGAGAGCGCCAGCCGACAGCAAGCAATTAGTTAATGGGCTCCGGGGCCCTCAGACCAATCTCATCAAGTGACCACGAGCTGCAGGAGGAATGATGACAGGCCAAGCAGAGACAGGAGCCAAAGGGTGAAAGGAGGAATGGGGGGAAGGGTGAATTAAAAGAGGGAATGAAAACAATCAAAAACCCAGGATGAATAGATAGTCCACAGACACATAATACTTAGCTGGAGACCTGAAAGGCTCAGTGTTGCTGCTCAGAGGAGAAAAACAAAATTCCTTTATCTACCTTCACACCCTTCCAATACAGAATGATGTCAAATCAATTTACTGCCTTCCTCTCACAATTAATCAAGCCTCCTCCATTGCTCAACCCTTGGTAGAGCCGTGCATCGTGTCACATGCAGCATAAAAAGAGAGAACGGCATAGCAGGAGATGGAGGCGGCTGCTCAGATTTATGCTGCTTGTGATTAGTAAGAGATGGGTGGCTCCTGGCCAAAGTAGCTCATAGTCACAAGACTTATAACCACACAGAGTTGCGTAAGGCACGCGAGATTCCTTGCAAACGTTCCTTGTTTTGTATGGAAAGGTTCCGGAGTGCTGTTACGGATGGAGCTAGCCTTTCAAACAAGGCAGAGGTTGTTAGTAACCATGTGAAATGAGGCTTTTCAGACTGACCATGTTGCTGAAACCAACATTTGCAAGCAGAAGGTGGAGATCAACACTTCATGGGGTCCCAGAGAAGTGTTTCCACTTCTGCGCTGGAGAAGGCTATGCCAGGAGCCAGCTGAGTGAGCAGAGGTGTCCACCTCAAGCTGCACAACCCCCATTCCCTCTCCAAGAAAACCTCCAAATGCCAGATCTGTGACTCGTGGGGGGAACTGTTGGTGAATGTCAGACTCTTATGGATACCAGCAAGTTCAAGGCAGTTCGTGTCTCAGCACAACCCCAATGGCAGCGGCCACCAAACCAACTTACTCTTTGGGGGGTGTCAAGTCATCAGGTCGTGTCTCAAAGAACTGGAGGACCTCCTCGCACTGGGAGATGTAGGGAGGCAGCTGGATCAGAGCCTGTGGATAAAACAGAGACACTGGTGATGGGAAAGCACCAAGACTGAGCAAGGAGCCGAGTGGGGACAGGTCCTCAGAGTGCAGGGGACTGGGTTATGGCACTGAGCTCAGCATCCATCTGGTTCCCAGCACACAGGAGCACAGAGCCAGGCACTGAGGAGAGCTACTGTAAACACACACCAGAGTGGAGCAATACCCAGAGAGCCCTCAGGTACACCCACCACCCACCCCAGCTACAACCAAAGTCTAAAGGAGAATAAGCAGAGAATGCCGGGCTCTGCTTAGCCCAGCTCCAGCCTTGTGGCCAGATGTGCCCCCCTAAAGTAAGAGCCACGTGGGATGTTGGTCCCAGCATCCAGCCTCCCGGCCACGGCAGGACTGTTTCCCAGCCATGCTGTGGGCATGAAGCCGTTGTCATCCTTGGGGAAGGCTGGGAAGTTTACATGTGTCAGACTCTCAGTGCCATCAGCCCTGGCTAGCACATCCCAAAAATGCTCTGCTGGGCAACAGCAGCTCGGGAAGAGGCAGGGAGAGACGAAACAGGAGGCAGAAGTGTGGACACCAGCTCATCAGGGCAAAGGCTGGAAGGCTGCTACGCGTGCTGTGGAATGGCAGGAGCTATAAGCTGCCTCTGCTTTTCTCCTTTTTCTTTGAGGAAGCCTGTTGCAAAAAGAGGCTTCAATGGTGGGATTTGCAGGATGAGAGCGTTCATGTCTGTGGGAGCTGGGGACAGAGCCTGGGGCAGCAATATTTGCCTTGGGCCACAGCTCTTGTAGGTCCAACATGGGCTGCAGTGAAGGCTGGGCAGGGAAGGCAGGATGGGCAGCTCCTTGGCAGAGCCCTGCCCTGCTCTCTGCTCCTGGGAGGGAACAGAATCATGATGATGGTGACTGCAAAATGTAAAAGAAAAAAACAAAAAACCCATGCAATTGAAAGAGCGACTATTTGAAATCAGGGAGCAGTGCTGCAGCCCAACCCGGAGCAGATGTTTAACCAATTTTCTGTATAATTTCCCCTCCCCTCCATTTGCTGTTACAGCAGTCTCGTGACAGCAGTGTGGGCAAACCAAACCTCCACTCATTTCTGTATCGGAGACAAAGCCCCATCTGCGAAGCCCCAGGGTTACCACACCGATCAGATGTGGCTCCATACTGACCTAATTGCTGGCCCCCAAAAGCCCTTGCAGCCACAGAGCACACAGTCACTCACTGCCAGCACAGCAGACAGTCAGACCACTAATCACAGGCCTGCTGCGATCAAGATCATGGGAGAGACAGGAGAGAGAAAGCTACTCACTCCATGGCTGCTGGGTCCAGGGAAGGGCGATTCAAAGATCAAGTTTTGCACAGATGACGTTCCTATGTGGGCACCACTCCCCAGTTCCAGGCATCCCATGACATACACAGTTTCCCCCATGCCAAAATCAGTCTGGTTTTGTGGCCTGGAGAAGGCTCCGTGTCCTCCGACAGCAGGGGATAATCACAGAAAACACCCTGTGCTGGAAGGGTGAAAAGCAAGACCCACAGCTCCTTTCTCAGGACATCCTGAAGGAAGCCCATCTAGAGCTGGCTGAGCTGGCACATTGCTGGCTGAGTCAAGCAGATCACCCTGCAGTCCAGCTGGCCATGACCTACTGCAGCTATGGCCACCAGATCAAAAATAGTGGCACAAATAGCATGCCTGTTCCACCTCTGGCTCTGCCACCCGAAGGAGTGAACTGGAAAGGGCCTTCAGGCCATGGGGTTGGAACCACAGCCCTTACCCACCCTGCTGCCCGCAAGCCTGAGGAGAAAGGTCATTGACCAAAGACAGACAAGCCTTATTGCACTGAAATCTATTTTTCAGGGTGTGAGAAAGGATTATTCTCTAGCAGTAATTTTTTTAGTGGTCCACCCAGTCTCACTGGGGTAGAGCATCACACCATTGCAACTCCATCAACCTTCCAACCAGCACTTTCTCAAAGTGCCATAGGCAGGACAAGGGCAGTTCCCACACCAATAGATGTAGAACACAAAGAGAATAAACTGGAGAAATGAGAAGAAAGTTCAGGCCTCCACTCCCCCTCCCTGTCATTCCTGTGGTCATTTGAAATCTCATTTGGTGACTGGTTGCTCTTATCAGTTGCTCTGATTCTTCTGTTGCTTTTCTTGCACCTTACTTTAAATTGCCATGTTTTTCAGTATGGTGGGATGTGGAACAGAGCCCTTCAGCAAGAGCACTGCCTTGTGAAAGCAGTGGTTCCCTCCCTTGCTCCTCTCACCTACTTCCACCCCAGATCTCACCCACCTTCCTTCCAGGGCTCTTCCACACCCTACTTGTCTCACAAGAGATGACAAGAAAGCAAGAACTTTCTTGCACAGTGTACAGTGAGGACTTGTTCACAACATACTCACCCAACCCTCAATTCTCACTCAGCGGGGCCAAGCTGGAGGAGATATTTTGCATTTCTGTTCTGCACCACCGCTCTCCAAGCATGTGCAATGTCCACCTCCAACAATAATCACGGCAGTAAGAGCGTGCTGGGACCCTGCTGCTGCAATCTGCAGCACGACATGCCCAGGAGGGGCATGTCTCTGCTCCCGCTGGCTCCTTGCTCATTCCACATCTCTGCAGCCTTTGGTCCCACATCCACAGCTCAGCAGCTTTACAGTTAAACAGCAGCAACTGGAAGGCCAGGCACAGTGTGCGTGGTATTACTTGGTAATGCATTAACGGGAGGAGGGGAGAGCGGCTCTAAGTGGGTCATATAACATCAGCCATTATGTTCCAGTTGTTAAGTCAAATGGATTCATTATATTTTATGCCATTAATGGCGTCATTCTGAAAAAGACAGCTGCAGCATCTTATCACTTAGGGACGTTTTCTTCCCAAAAATTGAATTTATGGTTGTGTGTGTCTGTACATAGCTGGCAGATTTTAGTGACCAAGAAGACAAGGGGCTGATCATGCCCATCTGGAGCCAAGCAGTTCCTTGTGCCATCAGCTTCCCCCATGCTGTGCAGAGCACACAGGTCCGAGCACACCTTGTACTACATCTCCATCACTCTGCTCTCACCTGCCATCCTGGCTCGCAGTGGTTTTCACCCGCAGCCCCACTGCAGAGCTGTCAAGATGCATTTACTAATTCACCTTTATCCTTGTACTTGTTATTCCAGCCACAACATCCCTTCCATAGGTCTGTCTGAATCCCAAAACCCACAGTCTCTCATGCCATACAAAGTCCTAGGCCACAGTCACTGCTACACCTCCCGCACCTAAGGAATGCAACAGGTATTTCACCATTTCTCCATCTTCTCCCCTGGGTTTTGTGGTCTTTGTATGTGCCTCCAACAGCATTCAGACTGGATTTTGGAGGTACTAGTCCTACCTCCAAACCATTTTCATGGCTGCTGCAAGTACTAGTGCACTTCTTCGACATGATGAGATGTGGCATACTTTATTTGTGTGAAAATAATTTTTTGTGGACCTCAGTATTTTGTTCCCCCTTCAGAAAAATGCCCTAACATCATAACTTGCCTTATACTTAAGTACAGTCTTCAAGAGTTTGGGGCAAACCTTCTCAGCCTTATCTCTGTTGGTTTCCAATAATTTTCTGCAGGTACAAGTCATCTTACCCCTGTGCAAATAACTGTTTTATGTAACCAATAACCGGAGTTTATGTCCTAGTTTGGGGCCATCCTACAGAGACAGTGCTGTCTTCTACATAAACCAGCAGGTCAGTTCCCAATACACCTGGGAACAGGTGCTATTTCCCCATAGAAAAGGAAAGACTCCCTGAGAAACCGAGTCCTTCAAGCCTAGTCCTGCATACAACCATTTCACTCCAAACTGCCCACCGGACAAGACAAAGCCAGGTCCTTTCCAGCCCATCTGGAAAGCTGGTTCTGGTGTGCAGCTTGAGAAGGGAGAAGGGAAAGCACAGCAGCAGGGTGCAAGCTGGTGTGGAGCTGGGTCACCCTGCAGCCCGCCAGCCCAGGCCTCCAAGCCCTCAGCATTAATCACATGGATTGAAAAGGACATCAGTGGGTGGGTTTTCATCACAGAAAGGGTTTGACAGTGAGGGACAGCCCACACTCCCCGTTCTCCCAGCACTGGCACACCACTATATACTATCAGTCAAACAGGATCAGGCCTCATCAAGGTGGTTTCATCTTTGGTTGATGCTAGAAACCTCCCCTTACCTTGCAGTATTCATCGATAGGTATCAGGCGCTTGACTGCAACATCACGGATGTGACTCCGACGGAAGAGGATCTTCCCTGAAACAGGACACATGGAAAGAGAAAAGCAGGTCAGCACAACACTCTTGAATCACTTTGTCAGGACCTATTCCCTGCACATCTTCTTGCCAAAAGCACCATACCTAAAAAAAAAGCCTTATCATAATAAAGCACATTTAAAGTGGTTAGCATGTTCAAGGAGAGAGAAGAGGAAACAATTACCAGCAAATTGCATCCCTATTTTCTCTCACCAATGTGGCAATGATGGAGGAGCAGACCCTTATCAAAGCACGTGCCTGATACCTTACAACCTGCTGGTGTGCAGGTCCTGGGTGTACAGGTCCAGTGGCAAATGCCAATGCTCGCCAGAAGCAGACATCCCTGCGACTGCCAGCACCGGTGGGACCCTTGTTTCAGGCTTTGGGCTTGCGCAGTGCATCTGGGTCCAGTGTGGGCAGAAGCTAAGGCAGAGGGTTTCCCTGTGCAACTCCGGTGTCACTGGTCCTCGAAGCCACAGTGTCGGGACTGCAGCTCTGAGTCAGACCTATAGGATTTTCCTTCCTGTCTAGGGTTTATTTGTATTCCCCATTAATGGGATCCTCTCGCCACTCCATTTCCTCCCCTCTGGCTTGTGGTACAGGCCTCTTTCTTTGAAGTCTAATGAGTCCTAAATGCTTCAAGCTGCTTTCACAGAGAACAGCTTCTCTGGCATTTAACGAGACAAAAGCCATTAGCAGACAGTGAAACAGATACATGTAGAGACTGGTGATCAAAAGGACTGTACATGGTAGGATTTCAGACCACGCTTCCCAAAGCACCAGGAACTGGCACTGCTTTGCAATACAATCACCTGGAAAATTGTGCTTTGGGAGGGTGGGGGTGGGTCGTAATGAAATTCCCTCTAATTCCTCCTGACACCTCCTCTATCACAGGAAGATCTCGTCTCTTTGTGTCCCTGTTTGAGTTTCCAATCTCACCACCAAACCCAGGGAGAGCAACTGATGTGTCTGGTCATGCAATCCCTTCACTCACCAAGAAGGTCAACATGGGGCAACCCAGAAACCAAACTTCTCTCACAACCAAATACCAACACACCCTCTTTGCAAGCAACATGAGAACGGGGAAAAGCACGCTGGAGAGCCACAGAGCTCTTTGCTGCCCCATGGCTACCTTCAGCCCCTACAGCAAGCTTTCCCAGGAGCTGCAGCACTGCTGGCCCCAGAGGCTGGATGCTACCAAGCTACCCAAGAAGAGGACGTGTGAAAATGGCCACATGCTTATCACAATTCTAAAACCAGGGCTGGGTCACCACCCCACTTCTCTCTGACTTGTCCAGGATCACGCAAGACTTGTGCAGCCTGCCAATGCATTTTTTAAGCAGAGATGAACTAAGACAACCCAACTTCGGCTTACAAGGAGCATGAATCAGAACTTTATGGAGGAGCCAAATCTCCAGCTAGGCTCAGTTAATGCAGAATGCCTTCGAAACTGGGCTGTCCAAGGGAGCACACAACAGTCACACTCAGTACTGGCCCTATGCTTGCCCTCCCGTGAAATGCAAAGGGTCAGGCCAGCTCATACCAGAAGGATTGCTTCTCATTTATGTCCTGCTGACAGCGAGGGGCTGAGACATTCATGGTGGGAAACGCTCTGCTCCGAAAAATGCATTCCTTCTCGCAGCTTGCCAGAGCCAAGTCTGGCAGTCTTTAGAATACAGTGAACCCCCCCCCCACCCCCCTATTCAATCTGTCTTTTAGATTTTGAGGGTGAATAGCCTGGGAACACAGAAGTTGTCTGGAAAGCCTGGGAGCGACAAGCAGGTCAGAGCTCCTTTCCATGCTTATAGCAATTATTTTCCATCAGACAAGCAAATGATCAACAGTTTTCCCTTCTCATCAGCATTTGGTGCATAGGTTTCTATTTGAATGGTGATTTTTAATGAATGGATCACAATAGTTTTGTTGGCAATTGTAAGGAATAGATGTTTTGGTTTTATGTCTGCCAAAATGAAATCACTGATGGGTGGGTACATTATAAATGTTTGAAATAATGAGCTCTGGGTGTAGGAATATTTAAATGTTTAACAAACAGATGCTGGCGAATAACAATAAAAAGAATATAGTTTTGGGGAATAAATACATCACAACAACTGAAGTGACCTTAAATTAGCCCAGGCACAGAGCATACGAACCAGCAGGAAATCCAGCTCCTCTCTTGATTTGCTCTAGATCTAGTATTTTTCAACATGAAAGTTTATTTTCTAACAAAAAGCTGGTTTTTAATCAAAATGCCTAATTAACATAATTGCACACCCTTCAGTGCTGCCAAATGCAGCTATATAAATCCTTGAGTTGAAAGGCAAGAGAGAGCAGGAAACCACTTCCCTCCCGGAAGGGAAAGATGGGCAACTTGCTGAGTCGATGAGGTGCAACGTTTTCCTGGGCATATTTTCCCTAGATCATATCTGCAAAATGGGAATAACAGCACTGGCTACAGAGGCTTTTGATGTGGCCAAAGACCATATAACAAAACAGAAATGCCTGACATGCTTCATCTCATTGCTGTAGATCCAGGGGATGCAGCGAAGGCAACGGTGCCCATCACCCAACACCTCCTTCTAAGCGTTCTCTGCTTTAAACCTTTCTTGGCTGCCTCCAGGAGCTCCTAACGACTCTCAATCTGGTACCCAATTTACTGCCCTGCTAATTGTCCAGGTGGACTCTTGCCCACAGCAGATACTCTATGCTGAAGGGGAGGAGAAGGCTGAGGATTAGCTCTTCTAGATCCTAAAGGAAACACGTGGCAAAGAAATGGGCAGATGGGCCAAGGCAAGAAGCAAGTTGGGTCTGAAGAAGACTGCTGGGTAATTGCTGTCCTGGCCTCTCCCAAGAGCAGCCTGACACACAGGTACTGTGCAGAGAAGGCCAGAGCAAGGACAACATTGATGCAGTTCAGATCCTTGACTCCCAGATACCTGTAAACTCAGCAAAATTTGCTCCAATATGACACAGATAACTACCAACTGTACTTTTTGTTTAAGAACCACCTTTGGTGAGACTCCCTCTACTCCAAACAGTCTCATAGCAGGGGTCTTGCCCTCAGCCTCAACGTCAGTGTGAGGAATACAGAGGGGAAGAGACGTGAAGGAAGGCAGTTCTGCACATCTCGCTGATCACTGGCGTTTTCTATGGGCTGGTAAGGTCAGTGCTGCTGCAGGCTCCACTTCACCAGCTTCTCACTCTTGCCACAACTCAAGCACTCAGAAATAATTAGATTTTCTTATTTACATATATAACGTTATGCATCAGCAATCAGAGCAATGAGTCTCCCTGCTAGCACAACAAAATCACTGCACAAGGAAGTATGGTAAAATACACTGTACTTTATATACACAGAGCTATAAGTAGACTGAACATTTATCACCTGGGAATGTGTCAAGTAAGTTGATTTTGGAAAAAGAAGACAGCAATAAGGCACCACTACTGCGTGCATGTTCCCTGTCTACATCTCCCCGCCTGTACCTGACACCACATTTCATACACTCATTGGCTGGTTAGAGCTGCTGAGGGCAATTAAGCAATGCAGAACAGATTATTATTGTAGGCTTGCCTTGGAGTAACATGGATTAGTTTAATATAAAAGAAAAGTAAGCTTTCATAAATATTTACATCAACAGGCTATCAGAGTCAAAATTTAATTTCACCACCCAAAAATATTAAAAACATCCAGCTTTTTATGCAGGGCTTTCCAGAAATCACCGCATGCTTTGTACACAGCATGAAAGCAGCTGGGGCAGGTAGGACCTTTGGCACAGCAATGTGCAGAAGAAACACCCCAGCGTCCCCTATTCCCCCAAACATCCCAGGAAAGAGGCAGTACATGAGTGACAGCCCTAGGCAGAGGATTCGCCGTGGGGAAGAAATCCCAAGGGCAAGCGATGCTAATTCTTGCCCGGTGGCTCTTCCAGGCCCCCCAACCCCACGAAGGAGAACTGCCGTGCTTTTCCCATGCTGGGCTGCAGCCAAAGCTGGCTGTGCTCTTCAGAGACAGCTTCCAAGCAATTGATGCTTTTATCTACCCAGAGAAAAGATAAATTGAAGAGTAACAAAGCAGCAGAAGCCATGTCTCAGCTCCCCTTGACTACTCGAGCATTTGTTGACTTGTTTTATCGCTTTGTTGACCCTGGTTTGTTTTTACAGCCAAGCAAATACCCGTAAAGGCGCTTCAGCACTGGGGGCACCAGCTGGTTCTCAGAGGGGGACTGGAGAGGGGGGAAACCTAACAAAAATATTTCAACCTAACGCAAAGCCAATGTCTGACCACATGTGAAGGACTTCTGAGTTGGCAGCAAGCGTCCCCCTCCCCAGCTGGGCAACGGCAGGGCACAGGGGGAGAGGCGCACAGGCTGGAAAGACAGCTATGGGCGCTCACGCCTGCGTTTCCCTTCCCCTGTCTGACCCCTTCCCTCCCTCCCCTTTTGACCTGCCTGGCACCATCTGCTCAGCTCAGGCGCTCAAATTGTCCCAGCGCTTCCGTTTCCTCTCCTTCGCTTCCCTGAGCTCTGGGCTGACAGCAGTGTTCTTCACCCTGCTGGAAGGCAAACCTGGAAAGCCCCAGCAGAGCACCCTGATGTTCTTTCAAGACTCCATCAGCCAGTGGATAGAGCTCACAACCTCCTGGGATGTGAAGCTTCCCAGTGTCAAAGCTCTGTGTCCCACTGACGCAGCTGCGCTCCCTTTCTGCCCTCTTCTACGGACACACTCATCTCCCTCCACCACTGCTACTATCCACCGTGGCCCACCACATACCAGCAGGAGTTCATCCAACATGAGGAATAGGCACCAAATCCATCCAGCATGTCCCTGCACACCTCAGGCTGGCCAGCACTGTCCCACAACAGCTTTTGTCCCAAATGTCCCACACGGTGCCTCACCCCAGGGAGAGTTTTCATGTAAACACTGCCATGGCATGGTTTCCTTTAACCACTGGCATGGTTTCCTTCAAACCCTCCTTAAAACCTTCCTTTGCCACAATTCCTG